TTCAGTGGATGTTTCTCCTCCTTGCAGCGCTCGGCGGCTGAGAAGGCTGTGTATTTGCAGCGCTGGCAGATGACCGCCTTGCAGGGCATTTTATATGTGTTCAACATCTTCTCCTCCATGGCCTCTTTGCGCTCTAGCTTATTAAAATGGTCGTCTTGCGCCTCCTGTTCGCGCATATCGACCAGATTCGTGTGGGAGGATGTGGCAGCCATGATTCGCTCAATGCGCGATTTACGCATCAATTCGCGTTCCTCTTCCTCGAGCTTTTGCCGTTTCGCTGTGCTGCTGAACTTCTCGTGCAGCTCGTCGATGGCACGTCGTTTGCCAGACTCAGTGCCGCGCGTGGAATTCGGATTGACCTTCTCCAGCGGCTTCTTCTTGAGCAGCGCTGCTGCTTTTAGTTTGGCGCTCTGCGCCTGACGCGCTCCAATGTTCACTTCGAAGCTGAAATTCTCGCTGCCCGCCAGTTTCGGTGTCAGGCTGGCATCGAATGAGAATCCACGATTCTTGAACTTATCCGGCACGCTTTGTGGTGTGGTGGGCGGGTCAACTGCCTTGGGTATGGGAGTTGTGGGTGTTTCTTGAGTTGGTGCTGCTGCTTTCTTTTCAAAACGTTCGTTCTCTTCGCGGAGCAGACGCAAGCGTTCGAGATCCTTACAACGCTGCTTGGATGAAGCCTCCACATTGCCGGCCAGCCGTGAGACGGGTCCACCACGCTCTGCATAGGGCACACTGTCCGGCAGGCTGGAACGTGGTTTCGACTTGTGATCAACGCTGTGGGCAAAGGGCGAGATATCGTATCCAGCCAGCTTGCTGAGCCGGTCGCGTTCCTTGCTGATGAGCTTGGCGCTCTTGCGTGCCGGCACTGCCGAGAAAGATTGGCCACCATAGAACACCTCATTCTTGCCTGCAAACAGAGATGTTTATAAGAACTCTAATTGATTGGGATTGTGATACTTACCCAGAACCTTGTTTCGCAGCTCGTTGAGACCGCGTCCCGTTGTCGCCGACTGTAGCTCGGATCGGCGGGACATTTTACCAAACTCCTGCTTCACGTGGAAGACGCAGTAATCGCAGTCGGTCAGGTTCACCAGAGCTGTGCATTTGTCGCCGTTCTTTTTGGTTGCACGGCACGTGCCCAGGTCCTTGGACTGACCGAGAATCATGACCTTCTGGGAAGTGTCGATGGACAGACAGGCGACATCTTTGCTGCCCGCGCGCTTCTCAAAGATAGTTGGATTGAGCACGGCCAGACACATGCCTTCTGCTGTTTTCCACAATGATTTGTGTGCCTCCTTGAAGAGGAAGACGGTGGCAGTCTTCATTTCGCCACGCAGATCTGAGAGAGTCCACGTGGAATAGGGATCACCTTTTTTGGTATTTCGCACCGGCTGCTTGGTGACCAATGCACCGGCAATGACCCAATCCTTGGACAAATCACCGCGTTCAATGTGAAAGGCTAGACCAGAAAAAGGCACCGCTTTGCGGCCATTCATGCGCTCTTGCAGCAAAGTACTGGATATCAATGGATTGATCATACGCAGTCCAAAAACGGGATCCGTGTAAACAGCCGTGATCTTTGACTGCTGCAAAGATTGGCCAGAGGTTGTGGCAGCTGCTGCTGCTGCTGTGGCTGGTGGTCTTTGGAAAGAGTTGCTTGTCAGCGCCGTCCGTTTGATGGGATTATGCGGATTCTTAAGACGCAGTGCCTCCGGCTGTGACGATGAGGTCACCAGTTTTGTCGTTGTCTTCAAAGACTGATCCACCTCGCGTGCCACTTTGCTTTCGTGTGCAGTTTCACGCTGCTGTTTGAGTTTTTTATTGATATCGCTGCCGTATTCATTATATTTACGCTCCAAGAAGTTCTTGACCTCTTCGTCGTCCGATGAGTCGAGATCTGGCTCTGCGGCTTTCGCTGTTGTCTCTACATTTGTTTTTACTGGCTTGGCTGTCACCTCATAGCTAAAGGCGTCTGCAAAGCTGTCGTCTTCACGTAATCGGGGCACTGCGGTGGCTAATGCTAGTGGTTTCGGTGGTGCTGCAGCTGCTGCTGCTGCTGCGTTTGCACTTTCCGTTCCATCGTTTTCAGCTTCGCCTAGCAGTTTTTCAAGTGCTAGTATTTCTTCTTCGTCTTCTACGCTTATATCCGCCTGTGATTTGTTTGCGGGACTCATTGTTAGTGTTGAAATTAAAAATATGAAGAGATTTTCACGACGGATCCGAAAGAGCGCGCATACAAATCATTTTTGGCGGGCCAGCTGTTGTGTGCTGAGTAATGCTGTACGACCTGCATTTACCAACACTAGCATTTTAATGCTATCGATTATTGTTTAAGATATCCGCAGCAACGCTGGATTCAGTGGCCTTCCAGTGCTGTGAACTGTTATTTCAATTCGCTCGTCGCTCTCGAAATTAGAAAAAAATGATTTTGCAAATATATCAATATTTTATTGCTCTGATGCATTTCAATAAATTGATGATACAATTTATACAATTTTAACAGATAGATGAACTCCATGGAATACATGAGTGCGCATTATTAAATGCATATATACGGAATTCGCAATGATTTAGAACCCTTTATTCATTTGAGCCAATGGTTCATTTTTTTTCGCTCATTCACAACCCAACACTAATTTCTTCGTCAATATGTCATCTTTCGGCTTTTATTCACGAAAAGTTTAGTTGCAGAGCACCGTAATATTTAAATTGTACTGCTCTGGACAGTGGTAAATCGCCAACAGCCGCATATCTTATAAACGTTTACAAGGAATATTACTCAGACACCAATGTGCCAGCTGCAGCGGCTGTCGTAAGGCCCTAAAAATTGTCAAATTTTGCGGATTTGACGGAGTCGGACGCGGTGCCGATTTTCCAAAAAAAGCAAAAAAGATAGAAGTGTGCTGATCAAATCAAAGATAACCGGAATACTGCATCCAACATAAAACGTGTATTTAGTGTTTAAGAATAAAGTGTTTTTCTGCCTACTCAATAGGGCCCCACCTCCGCCCGGTAATTAGCAAACCAGGTAAGAAATTTAACATCAGCCAGCGCTTCCCCCACTAACTGCGAATCTCACACTTTTTTTCCTTTTTGCATTTTCGACGTGTGCAAATGCGTGTGCTTTTGACCGACTTTTGAATGCGCTCACAAATTGCATGACATACAGATAACCGTGGTCGTTTTGTGGTTATAGCTTGATTCAAACCCATTTTCCCCACGTGTGTCCCCCAATTGCATCTCAAATTGCATTTTGTCGTTGCTGTTGTTGTTTTTGGTGCTTGTTGATAGCCTTTGACTTATGCGGTTTTTTTTGTTGCCATTTGCTTATCGCAATGCAATATTGCCTGAGCGCATGCTATAGAGGAAACGGGCACACGAATAATTGATCCGAAAGTGTTTTAAAAATGCAAAAGCATAGAGTTGCCACATAATCACAATAACAACAGTTAGAATCATAGCCCAAACATCGTTTACCGTTTGCTTTTTGTACATTTCCCTTTAAGCATTTTCGCATTCCACGGCGTTTTGCATTCGCAGCGCGTGTTTTGAGTTTTCATTCGCCTGTCTCCTTTTTAGCGCCGCTCGCCTCTTCTCGTACTCGCACTCACACACTCACGAACGTAGACATGCACGCACAACACCCGCTCTCATGCTCTTTTTGCATGTCATCTGTCGCGGTCAGTGCCGGCCCCCACACACGCTCAGATGACAGAGCAAAAAGCAAATAAATAGCAAATAAAAAAAATCAAATAAGTGCAATTTTCATTTGGGGATAAAACAAAAACAACTAACAAACAAAAAATAACAAATCTGTGTTTTTCACTAAATTACGTCGAGTTCACCCCCATCCACACCCATTTCATATGCTCATAACACACTAGTAAAGAAAAATATATGCTCAATTCATTTGGAAGGCGTCGCCTTTTGACCTTTTTTTGTCACGCCGTTGCCGCCGCCACCTCCTCCTCATTGAATAGATTTTTGTTACTCATTGCTGTTGACCAAACTGAAAATGTTTATCTATCGTAGAATTGTCGCAAAACTTGGCCTGACAATTTCATGTCTGCATGTTGAATGATTCTACGTGTGATCCAAAAGATTTTACCGGTATGTGTTGTTCCATTTGTTTGTTACCTTACCAAAGTTAAACAGATCCGATGTGTTGTTTATTGCATTTGTTGATATGGCTTTAAATTCAATTCAATTCAATTTCGACCTTGTAGCACATGCTTCAATTACGCAGCCCGAAACATGGCACCACAGTTCCACACACCTATTGGCAGGCATATAAATATGCTTACAGATCTGGCGCATATTGCTAGTCGTATTTGGCTGCTTTAGAGAATTGCATGGCATTTATTATTAACGGCAGCTGCTAATCACGCCATCTTTCTCTTTGTCTCTCTCGTTCCCGCTCACTCTCTTTGTCTGTTCTCCTCGGCGTCATCCTGGTCAGTGCTGCAACGATAAAGATATGAGTACAACTATATACCTAACGACAGCGGAGAATGGACTGCGACACGATAAAATTGTTATACTCGATGCTGGTGCACAGTATGGCAAGGTAAGTCGTCTCTATAACTATCTATCTATATATAGTAATAGCTATAATTAAATATATTCAACTCTCGATGCAGGTAATCGATCGCAAGGTTCGAGAACTTTTAGTAGAATCGGATATTCTGCCATTGGATACGCCTGCCGCAACGATACGTGATAATGGCTATCGAGGCATAATCATATCCGGCGGACCCAATTCAGTTTATGCCGAAGATGCGCCCACGTACGATCCCGATCTATTTAAACTGAAAATCCCAGTGCTTGGCATCTGCTATGGCATGCAGTTAATCAACAAAGAGTTCGGAGGCAGTGTCCTCAAGACTGACGTGCGAGAAGATGGACAACAAAATATTGAGATTGAAACATCATGCCCTTTGTTCAGGTATGGTTGCCTCCTTGTCCCTATCATCTATCTATCTATTATTTCCTGATGCTAATCAGCAGCAACAAGAAAGTCTTCAAATTGTCAGTTTATTTGAGCGCTGATACAATGCTGCCAGAGCAAAGTTAAAGCCAAGAACAGTTCAGTTTAGCGTAGTTTATAAACTGATCTACACGTGGCTTGACATTCAATTAATTGTTTTTGAAATGCATTCTGTTGCTCACTTTATTATTAACCAATGTTTCTCTGTTGCAGTCGCCTTAGCCGTACACAGTCCGTGCTGCTCACCCATGGCGATAGCGTGGAGCGAGTGGGCGATAAGTTGAAAGTGGGTGGCTGGTCATCGAATCGGATTGTGACGGCTATTTACAGTGAGGTATTGAGAATCTATGGTGTTCAATTTCATCCAGAAGTCGATCTAACTATCAACGGCAAACAAATGCTATCCAATTTTCTATACGAAATTTGCGAACTAACGCCTAACTTTACCATGGGCAGTCGAAAAGAGGAATGCATTCGGTACATACGCGAAAAAGTGGGCAATAATAAAGTTTTGGTATGTATCTAAGCATAATATAATAGAAATCCATATCTCATTGTTTCACAAATTCTTAAACAGTTGCTCGTCAGTGGAGGCGTCGATTCAAGTGTCTGTGCTGCATTGCTGCGAAAAGCGCTGCATCCCAATCAGATTATAGCAGTTCATGTGGATAATGGTAATATTGACATTGAACAATCTTAATGCTAAGCCTGACTAACCATTTGCATATTTCTCTCTTATAGGTTTCATGCGAAAAAATGAAAGCGAAAATGTAGTGCGTTCATTGCGAGATATTGGCATTGATTTGATAGTGCGTAAAGAATGCTACACGTTCCTCAAGGGCACCACGCAAGTGAAACGACCCGGCCAGTATTCGGTAGTTGAAACGCCCATGCTATGTCAGACCTACAACCCGGAGGAGAAGCGAAAAATAATCGGTGATATATTTGTGAAAGTGACTAACGATGTGGTGGCTGAGCTGAAACTGAAGCCCGAGGAGGTCCTCTTGGCGCAGGGCACACTGAGGCCGGATTTGATTGAGTCTGCTTCGAATATGGTCAGCACGAATGCCGAAACAATTAAAACGCATCACAATGACACGGATCTGATTCGGTAGAGCGATAGCATATTCAAGATACTTTATTATATTTTAGTTTGTTTTTGGTATGCCTTGGGAAAAATATTTGAAATTCATATGTATATCGGAAGCAATCCATATATGGAACATATAACTGGAGCCAAACATTTTAAAGAAATTGAGCCTACAACAAGTTGTAGGCAAGTGATGGCACCTCGCTGCCAAGGATATAATTATTTGTGTTCACCTATCCATATATTCTATATATGAACGAGGTCAATTAGCAATTTTGATATTCTTATTTTAATGTGAGTCAAATTTGTTTATAGGGAGCTGCGTAATGCTGGCCGTGTCGTAGAACCATTATGTGACTTCCACAAGGATGAGGTGCGTGACCTGGGCAATGATCTCGGCCTGCCAGCGGAATTGGTCGAGCGCCAGCCGTTCCCCGGTCCTGGTCTCGCCATACGCGTTCTTTGCGCCGAGGAAGCATACATGGAGAAGGATTACTCGGAAACACAGGCAAGTAGCAATCAGAAAATGCCATTTTTTTAAACGAATTCAGCTAAATTGAAATCGATTTGTTCACAGGTCATTGTGCGCGTTATAGTGGACTACAAAAATAAACTACAAAAGAATCATGCGCTTATTAATCGTGTCACGGGCGCCACTAGTGAAGCTGAGCAAAAGGAGCTGCTGCGCATCTCTGCCAATTCCGATATCCAGGCTACTCTACTGCCGGTACGCTCGGTGGGTGTACAGGGTGATAAACGCACCTACAGCTATGTTGTTGGCTTGTCAACGACGACCCCGGAGCCCAACTGGACTGACATGTTATTTTTGGCCAAAATCATACCACGCATATTGCATAACGTTAACCGAGTCTGTTATATCTTTGGCGAGCCCGTGCAGTATCTAATTACAGATATAACGCACACAACTCTGAACACTGTAGTACTGGCGCAACTCAGGCAAGCGGACGCTATAGCCAATGAGGTGAGTTGTATTCTAATCAATCAAATTGCTTATGATTCGAAGGCTTTTTCTATTCTTCCCTGATTCAATAGATTATAATGAAAGAGGGACTGTATCGCAAAATCTCACAAATGCCCGTAGTTCTGATACCCGTGCACTTCGATCGTGATCCCATTAATCGTACGCCTTCCTGCAGAAGATCAGTGGTATTGCGTCCATTTATAACGAACGATTTTATGACTGGTGTGCCAGCTGTGCCCGGATCTGCTCAACTGCCATTGCATGTGCGTTACATGATTCATGCTCATTGAAACAGATGTTAGATTCGTATTATTTATAATTCACAGGTTCTAAATCAAATTGTGCGAGATATTTCTAAATTGGATGGCATCTCGAGGGTACTCTACGACTTGACAGCCAAGCCGCCTGGCACCACGGAGTGGGAATGATGCGTTCCAAACCAAAATCTTTAACAGCCATTTCATAGAAATAGAGATATGTAGAATCAATAAACAACTACAAAATGGTAAATTACAAAATTACAAACCAAACCAACAATAAACAATATTAGACGAGACGCATGAGACAATAGCAGAGATGCCGCCAGCTGCTCAGTAAAGTCCCATGTCAGCTAAATCAGGTATTGAGGAATGCTGAAGGCAATTGACATGAGGGACACTGACAGAGACGAAAAGAGCGTAAATATTATTTAGAGTGCCGCTTACACAAAAACAAATGATGAACAACACCAACAACAAAATATTAACAAATCAATTCAGGTTTATAATATCGATTATTGTGTGTAATTAATAGTAACGCGAAACGATGTTAAGCATAAAACAGAGAATAACACCAGATGAGAAGATTATATGATATATTGCTGTATATTGAAATATGAACATGTTCGATCGGCATGTGCGATTTGTTCCTTTTATGAAAAGGAAATTAACAAAACACATAATATACATAAGAAACAAAAACCAATTTATTTACGCATTTTTTAGTTATATACATAATTATACATATATTTATATATATGCATATATATACACTACAGTTATATATATATATTCATGTATATATATACAGATATTAAATTAATGCAAAACCATGTTCTGAACGTTGTATATTTGCATGAAAACTGTTTTCGAGGAAATCGTGTTTGCAAAACAGAAAATTGTAAGAAGTATGAAATATATAAAAACACATACACAAAAACATAAGAAACACTATTGTAAGCTAAAATTATGAATTGTTATATAAAAAACGTTTTACTATTTAAATGGCAAAAAACAACCACAGCAAAGCAAATTATTATGATTAAAGAGAAACACAAAACCCAATAAAAAACCGAAATGTAATAAATTTGAAAAGGCTATTATAATGTAAATACAAAGTAAAATGTTATGAAATTACGAAATGGACGACTGTTCTCTTTTTCAGATTTATTTAATTCGGCTCTCAAATACTTCAATATGAGCCCGACTCTACAGTATTCGATGTAGTGCCTCTGGCGATAGGCACATTGTGCAGCATCGTTTATTTCGGATCTTCTCCATTGTTCGCAGCTTTTGTCCAAAGGATGTGTGAAGTTTGCTCTTACAACGACCCAAACGCATGCATTTGGCGGCGAGGCTCTCCTGAGTGGGCGAGGTTAATGGCTCAGGCGTTCGCTAAGAGAAATCATAATGTTAAGGGTATTAATATTATATATTATATATTTTGGTCTGACGAGAATTCCTATTCCTATCTGCCATGTAGCTATAATAATAAATAGTTATAGTTTAGTCATGAAGATTGTGTTTAAATAATTATTCTTAATAGTATACTAAGCTCGACATTGCATAGGTTATATACATAGATTATGTTGAATAACATACGATTCAGCGAGATAGATTCAGAATTGATTGATTGTTGCTATACAGACAAGCTTATATTATTATACTCAACAAATGTATAATATGTTATATGTTTCTGATATAAGTTATAGGTATAGAATTACTTTCATAAATTCGTGAACAAATTATGATACCATCTACTATTTATGAGAATCTATGCTATAAAGTTTTCTGCTCTAGTTATAGTTTATGTTCGGGATAGTATTCCAGATCTTTAAACTTACCGCTACCGGCGTTGCTGCTTGTACATTATTTTTGCGATCGAATGTATGTTTGATTAGAAACTGCAATCTATCCGAATAGCGCAGTTTGCGGGGCAATTCATTCAGTTTGTCGAAATGTTTCGCCTCCTGTTTACGCAGTTGCTCCAATTGGACGTTGTAGCGCCATTTGATAACCAGATGTCTCCATTTATCAGGCTTCGGATGGGGGCGTTCAGGGCAGCACATTTCCTGGGCAAGCTGCTCCCAGACCTCGTCCTTCAATTCAAAATTGAGAAAATCTTTGTGATTCTCCATCCACAGACATTCCTTCTCCTTGTACAAATCGAGAAACTTAAATTTGTAGCGCCATTTGCGCTTCGCTTGCTTCGAGCAGAGCGTCAAATTTGTTATAGATGTGGACCTAGTCGAGCCCGGCAATCGCCATTGATTAGCCATAATACAAACTGGAAATTTAGACAATTGGTATTTCGATCGATTGACGTGAAAATCAGGAGATTGTGGAAAGCGTTTCTATGCTTCATTTGCCTTACAACGTTTCATAATTTGAAAACGGAAAGCATTATTGAATTTCAAAGTTTTATTTGCTTCATAACGCTTACTAAATTTAAATTTCATAATTGATACAATTAGTTTAAACAAATGTGTGAGTGAGTGAGTGTGTTGGATGTTGCGACTAGGAGATGGTTCAGCACTTCTCCACGTTTGGATTGTGTGTTCGTTTATTGTCCGCTTCGAGAAAAACAAACAAAAAGCAAAAAATAATAATTTACATGAAACATCTTTGCTTTCTTTCATACAATTACAATAAATTTTATTCGCATTCGCAGCAAACAAATTTGCAAATAAACAAAAGTTCAACTAAATATAATTAATGTATGTATAATTGTATATATATATATATAAAACTGTTTCACAATTTCTCGATTTTATTTTTTCGATTACATAACCTTCACTATTTGCATTTGCGACACTGA